TATTATACTCATTTCTTTATATACCATTCTCTTCATCATCAAGATGCCCTATTTCCCTATTGTCAGAATAGGGGTAATGAGATCCTTGTATCCTTTATAAGCTCATTTCTCATTTTGAGTTTTGGACTACTTGATATTGCTTCTCTTTTCTCTGAACTTTTTGAAATCTGCTTGTCTTTAAAGACGAGTATACGTTTCTATGCATGTCCAGGATTCAATTCCTGCTTACAAATTTCAATTTACGTTGTGATTTTTTTTTCTCAGGATTTTCATAATTTCTACTTTGCCAAGCAGTTTATTCTTACTGGTGAAAAGTACAGAATTATGGTTTCTTTTGCTGTTTCATTCTGAAAGATAGAACTTGTCAGAAGGCAATGCAGAATTTATTAGCAGAATATGATGAACAGAAAATGGTCAAATAATTGCCATCTCTTCTATCTTATTTCTGAGCCAATTTGTCTCTTCTATTAATATAGCATCCTTGTCTTTGGTTTGGTGAGTGGTCTGATTATACGACATCTCTGTGATATTCTTTCTCTTTTTAAACTCACTTTAAATATTCTTGACCACATTTCAGTACTAGGTCTGTGGCTTTCCAGGTGTGTGCATATGTTGTTGACAGACCATGTTATTTGTCAGCCTGTTTTAACTGGATATTGTAGAATGTCCACTGGCATGAGATCCAATCTACCAGATTTCAATAGTGACTATGCAAATCATATTTAGCACCATTTTTAAGATTACAAATTCATTGGTAGCCACTCATTTTTTTAGTCTTTGCACATTTCTTTATAGACAACTAAGACTATGTGTATCTGTTCCTGTCCCCTTTAGATTTCATGCCATTTTCTCCTATATTTTTGTGCTGGTCATATTATCTCTTAGCGTGTAATTTAAGAATATATTCACCTTCTTGTACTTTTGGGATTTTTTTCCTCTGGATTTTTCAGAAAGATGCCTTATATGCTGACCTCGCCTTTATCCACATTTCTTTTTTTTTTTTAATTATTTTTTATTGATACATAATAGATGCACATAGTTTCAGGGTACATGTGATTTGATACATTCATATAATATGTAAAGGTCAAATCAGGGTAATTGGGATATCCATCACCTTAAATATTTATTTTTACACTAGGAATGTTTGAATTATTCTCTTCTAGCTATTTTGAAATGTACAAAAGATTATCGTGAACTGTGGTCACCCTATGATTTATCCAACACTAGATCTTATTCACATTTCCTCTTCGTTTCACTAATTCTCTGGGTTAAATTAGTATCCAGGGCACCTCTGCCTCCAATTTGTAGATTTTTCTGCTATTGCTCATTGCCTCTCTCTTCTATTTTTCTAGTCTTCCACAGCTTTTTGCTATTTCGGGGTTACTTAGTGTTTCTCGTGATTCTAGACATTATTGCTTGTTGTCTGCTTTTTTATTTCTTGGCAAAAGAAAAATGTTCCTCCTAAACTTTTTTTGAAAGTTAAAATGACTCAGGAAGAAAATCTGGAGTGTGAGTCTTCCTCTTCCTCCCCAAACAGCCCTCACTCTGTATGATACACAGAGTTTTGTAGGTATACAGCATTTTCCACTAACAACTTTCAGGGTCAGCCCATTTTTGTGTCTGTAACGGATTGAGGTTGTCACTAAAATAAAATAAAAAATAAGAACGTTATTGCCTTGCAGCTCCTCTGTTCCCTTACCTGAGATATAAATAATGTTTGCCAAGTAAATACAAAAACGTTGTCACCAAGGGATGAATTCTCATTTTCTTAGCTTTAACATAAAACTTTTCAGAGTTATAAAGTCAGAAGAGTGCAGGGCAGAGAAAGCAACCTTTTAAAACAAAGTTCAAATCAATAACAATTAACATTTCCCAGCCTCTATTTTCTTGCTAATGACTGGAGACAAGTACCAATTACAGAAGCTTCAAGTTTCTGGATTTCTGGTTGTACCAGGTGGTGCTGTGTGAGAGCTATTCATAGTGCCAGGGGGAAGTCTGGGTTGTTCTTAGCTACCTTTTGCCATCTTTATCGTGAATGAGGACAAATACATCTACCCTTTGCACTGAGGCTTTTTCTTTGTCCTTTATTCTCTGCCTTACCCACTTCTAATTTCAGGAAGTACATTCTGCCATCTTTAGTGAGGGCGCTTGCCATCTTTTACTTTTTCCCTAACAAACTCATCTTACTCATTGTTTTGTTTTCAGATTTCCTTTGATTCTTATGCTATCACCTGATCCCATGAGACTTTTTAATCTCCACCATTGCTTCTTTCTTATTGTTCTTTCTCAAGATCACAGAAAACCAGTCCTTTTAATAGCTATCATTAAGATAGTTTTGCCTCTTCAGTTTTCAAAAAATTTTTAAACTCCTTTCACAGATTGTCTGAAAACATATGTTTTCTTCTTTTGGTTTGTACCTCAAATATTTTCTTTCTTTTCCATTAACTCTGCTAACCAACTCTGACAAAGCTTTGATTTTTGTATAGACATTTTCAATACTGTTGAGTGTTGATATTGTTTTGACAAACACTGCACATGCATTTTCTACAATGTGAGAATCATTCATATTAGGATGACAAAGAGTGGAACTGATTATGTTTAACTAGATTCTTGCTTGTCATCAGAGTTGTTTTACCAGGACATGTTCATTCTCTCTGTTCATTATGAAAGTTATGATGTAATTGTCCTTAGTAATGAAACTTTGTCTTGATTTGGTATTTTTTGTTGAAACTTCCTTTTGTGGAACCAGGAGCCAATAATGACTGGTTATCATCAACATTTCTGCTTTAAGTGAGGAATACTGGTTTTTTTCTTCTCCATTATGTTCCTTGCCTCTGCTAAAGGGTAAGGCAAGAGGACAAATTAGGAAACTGCTGTAATAATTCAAGCAAGAGATCTGAGGACCTTCTGGAGTAGCATTTGGCATGGAAAATAATTCATGTGATTCTCTTCAAATATGAAGGCAAAAAGGGTTTCCTCAGTTTATTACTGCTTTTAGAGTTTAGAAACTACGGTTTGTCTTAGAATCTCTATTTTCTTTTTAAAATGTCCTCTTTGGTACATATCTAACTAATTGTGGAATTTATCACATGCCCTAGTATTTCCTAGTTTTGAAAACTATTAATACTTACTTGGTGTCTATTGTATCTTTTTAAAACAATAACATCTGTAATCTTCCCCCATCCTTGATTATAAAAGTAAAAAGGAAATGAAAGTAACTTGTACTGTCACTCAGAGATAACTATTAACATTTCAATGTGTTTCCTTTCAGTTTTTATAGATATAGAAATAATTGTGTCAAAGTACATATCTATGAATATTTATTCACTTAGACAAAATCTTGAAATTATGAGCTATCATTAAATATGAGAGTATAATATTCATTCATCATGCGGATATACCATATTTATTTTACTGTTTCCCTGTTGTTAACCATTTAAGTTGTTTCCAACTCATTACAGTAAACCTTGTGGCTAATGTTTTCACAAACAAATCTTCATATATATCCTCAGGATAATGAATTAATATAGAAACATATTTTTAAAGTTAAGAACTTCTTTGAAGGCTTGAATTGAATGTGTAAGGATGTGAATGAGCCCTCATGGCTGAAAGTTCCAACCAGTTGACAAGATAGCAATAGTGCCCAGCTCCTCTGCATTTCCCTCCACCTCTTCTCCACCATGTTACCATCTTGGATAGAGAACACTGGAGCACTGAGAGGTTTGGAGAGAAAGACAGTGAGTCCAGTTTGGTAAGGGGTCCTCTTGTCTCCCCCTAAGGCATTCCCAGTTGCATCTACCCAATTAGTTCAGCGTGGATACCAACGTGATTACTGACTCTTCCTTGATTTTGGTCAAGAGTCCTCTGTTTATCAAAGAAGATAGCTTTAATCCACCATGTTGATCCTTTTCAGCTATTTGGGAGCATTGGACAATAACTAAAATGTCGCCTATAATCCCTGGTATTCTTTGATTGTAGGAGAAGCCTGTTGAGGGCACGTAGTAGAATAGCATAAGGAGGGCTATGCTAGAGAGTTTAGTTAATAGTTTAGCAGGCAAGTTCAATGCAACACTCCTTGTATAAATCAGTTTGCATAAGCAGTTTGCTTTGGGTATGGTATCTATTTAGTTTAGTGCTCACAATTTAAAGATACGTACGTGTGTGTATATATATTAATATGTATATAGCACCAGAAACTTAATTCTTTGGCCACAATAGATGTTTAATTTCTTTGATCCTTGTTCTGAGTTTTTTTAATGCAAAAAAATATCTTTTAAAAAAATTAATTCTTAAATAGTAGAGTGACATGGGAGGCATTTCATATTGCTATAAAATGCTGTTATTTTCTGTGAATAACTTTAATTCTAATTAAATTGAGTATTTCTGGTTAATAGTTAATATTTTCTTTTTGAAATTCCCATATTGACATCTGTCTAAGAAAATTATTTCAGTGATTGCACTTCTATCATGATTCTAAGACACTAACAGCAGGAATAATTAAAAACTGATACAAATAGTATTTGTATCTATATTTAAAAAGCTCTTCAATTGAGCAGATGTTGTTACAGATTTTTGTCTTTGATATGATAAATTTTCCATGAATTTTGAAAATCTGTGTTTAAGGATGTGCTTTCAAGTTTTGCATAGTTCAGCTGCAATTTGTGAAAGTTCAAGCAGCTGTACTGACCAGCCACTTGACAAATTTGTAACTGAGGCTCTTTTAGGCAAAGACTAAGTTCTGGAGCTTTATATTCTGTATTTTTGTGTTTGGACACATGCATTTGAATTTCTTCTCTTTTTGGGTCCAGAAGTTATGGTATTCATTACACATATGTACACAGACATACATACATATACGTATTCTCTCATATGTATATTTACATTATATATCCAATCTAAGTTATAGGTAAAGATGCAAATATTTTACTTTTTTGAAAATAAAAAATGTTTAGTTTAAGCTTCCATTACCTAACTTTTAAAAAAAATTTCTCTTTGTCTAGGTTGAAGAAATTGTGGATATTGGCTCATTTGCTCCAGAAGACATTCACATTCCTCAGATTTATGTACATCGCCTTATAAAGGGAGAAAAATATGAGAAAAGAATTGAGGTAATTGACTTAACTTCTCTGTCAGTATTTATGGTTCTGATTACTGGAGAGATATATATGTCCCTGGGGCCATTCTTGATGATATAGAATTAAGGCTGAGCAGGAAGTCTTGGTTTAGATCTTAATAGGTGCTTCTCATGTGTTGGTCCTAAGGCAACATGATTGTCTGTACCACTGCCCAGCCTAACAATTCCTTGTCTTCACAAGGTATTGTTGGGGTGAAGGGAAACTTCTCCTTTGCCCTTGGAGGATTGCTGAAAAATCAACTCACAACAAAGCAGATTAATAAATAAGAGAAAAGCTATACAAATTTATTTTAACATGTATACATGGGAACTCTCAAAAATGGAGATTTAGCTCTTGAATGAGGTACAAGAGGCTTTTAAGGAATGGGGGCTTGAAAGCAGAAAAGCAGGTTTTGGGAGGGAGAGAGGAAGAGGCTTAAGTAGGTAGCAAAGGTGGTCTTGTGTAAGTGAAACTTTAAAGGTAGCAGCCCTCAGAGCAAATACAGGGTAAATCTATGATTTATTTTTAGACCTTAAAGGGTGTCAGATTCTTAGTAAATCTTTTCTACATTGGGGGAGATATACCTGGTTGTATTCTCTACAGATATAGATTTCTCCCCCAACAAAAGACAGCTTTGCAGTTTTACTTTTATCTGTGAGACTCATAGATGCCATCTCAAAATATGTCAAAGAAATGTATTTGGGGGCAAAATATTTCTAATTTCCTTCAGTATATATGCCCATGTCATGCAGTTCTCTAGGTTATGTCTACCAGATTCTGCAACTGTCCTGATTTATGTTACATAGTTTTGCTGGCTGTCTTCGAAGGTAGGGAAGAATAATCAGGTCTTTGGCTTTACCCAACTGGAACCTTAATGTTTGATTGTTCAGAAATGTCTGTCTCTCTTGAAGTTGCTTTGCACTTTCAGAGTGCAGAAAGAACATCATTAGCTGTGAGCAGCTGGGAGACAGGAGATCTGGAGGTGTTCTAAGGCTAGGGAGAGCATAGAGAATGGCCAGCTGGCCAGAACTGTTATCAAGATTCAGAAGTGTCCAGGGATCAGCAACAGAATAGAGATACAGTAGGGGAACTCAGAGGACCAGAGATACCCACTATCTTATGGACATCAGACAGACATTCTGCCATTCAAAACCAGTGTCAGGGGCCTAGGGAGAAAGGATGAGGCTTTTGCAAACAGTAACCAGAGTCTGTGTCAAGGATTTTAGTAATATGAATAGTCTCCTGGCTGGTTTCTAGATAGTTCTGTGATTCTTGTGATGTACTTGTAGCAAAACCAGTCTAGGCTCTGTGGGTAGAAATAGGCAGTTGGCAGCAGCAACACCTGGTAAACACATTCTGACAGCCCTGAAAAACAGATCCAGAAGGTCTGTTCCTTTTTCTTTCTTCTGGCCAATTCCTGAGCCCCTGAGGAGAATTCATTTGCAAGAGTCAAGAGTAACAGTAGCAACAGTCAGTGTGATGATAACAAGGGGATTATTTGCTTTAAACAGAACAGGCATATTTTCTTTTTCACACAAATCTGAGTGTTTTCACTTACTTCCTAAAGAATTATTTCTGTCATCAAATGTCACCCATGTTATATATTCGAGATTTGTCTCATAGTAGTAATGGGAGAGAGTTAATTTTTTTTTCCAGTAAAAGCTTATATTTCAGCAGTGATAAAATACAAGCATACCTTTAATCATGAATAATTTATTTCTGTTTATTTTAAAGCGTTTATCAATCCGGAAAGAAGGAGATGTAAAAGCCAAATCTGGGAAATCCGGAGAGGATGTAAGGGAACGTATCATCAAGCGTGCAGCTCTTGAGTTTGAGGACGGCATGTATGGTATCCTTTATCCCAGGCAAAGACATAGGTGTTCTCTTTCCCATATTGGTCATGCTACTAGGCCCTCTGCATAGTGATTCATCTCTAGTCCGTGGTAACTTTTAAAGCAGTTGAACAATTCTTTTTTATCAAAATTTGGCAAATAACTTGAAGAAATCAAGATATATAAAATGTATATATAATCTGTTTGCCTTTTTAAAACAAAATGGCAACCAAAATTTTGCTTATCTATTTTCTAGATATATAGTATAGTTTCTAGTATATAGTATACTAGATACTAGTATCTAGTATACTAGTATCTAGTATAACGGATTTCAGAGCAATTTGGCATTTAGCTAGAGGTTATCAGGAAAAGAAATTATCAAAGATGAAGGTTTCAAATCTCAGAATTACTAGTGATAACCGATGCTATCTTCTTTCTCTATATTTTGACATTTGTATACCCAATGAAACATAAAATCCAACTTCTTAATGATCTTCTTCTTCCTTTGACAAAGATCCCATGAATATGCCCTTTTATGTTCAATGTTTTGTAAAGGTATTCAATGAATGATTCAAATTCTGCTTTAGATACTTTGTCAAAAAAGAGGTAGGGTAGACATAATTTAGTACAATTCGTATTTGGATTTTAAATGTGTTTAACAGAGGGTCTGTTCACCATTTTTCTAGTTTTCAATATGTCAGACATTGAACTATATAATACAAATAATACATAGAAATACAAATAGCATATGATAAAATAAATATTTGTTGGATGGCATATACAGTAATGCCATACTTAAAGGGCTAGGACAGGAAGAATTGTAAACACGACAAGTATCTCACTCTGTGAGCTTCCCTAGTCTGTGAATATCAGTCTTTCAGACTGTGATCTTGACTGGGAGAACGTTCTTTTTCTCCTTTCTCTTTACCTCGTCCCCATTTTTCTTTATTTCTCAGTTTATCCCTTGTGTTATGGTGAGAATTCACATAGGGGAAAAGAATATTATGTTCCCTCGATTTCAGCTCTTATATCAGCAAGCTAGGGAGTCAGCCAACTTTACTTAGTAGGTGAAAGTGAGTCACTGAGTTTCTTCTCAACCATGTCAATTGACTTACATTGATGCTTACATACTGACTATAACACTGATTTTTAGGTTAAGTATTCTTTATTCACTGTTATTATATTGCTTATGAAAAATATTTGCAAGTCAACTCATATAAATGGTCCTTCCATATCACCTACTCTTTTTCAACCCAGAGTACATGGACTTTTTTCTCCCTGGTGTTTGACTTACTCAAAAGAAATGAAGTACATATAATATTGTAGTAGCCTGTGATTTGCCAAGAGGTAAACTAAGTAGCTATTATGGACTTATTGTGCCCATAGTGTCCTGGGTCATTGAGTTGTCATATTGGCCTTTGTACTTTATAATATGGCATCACATATAAACTATTTTTTCTGGCCTTGATTCATAAAGATTTCACTGTTACTATAATCTCATCAGCACACCAGCATTCTTTGGAATAATTCCAGTGAGGTCTTTTGTTTTCAGTGGTAGTGGGCAACAGTTTTAGGCAGTGTAAAGACCTCTGATCTGGCCAGCATGCCTGCGTTGAGAGGCGGGATTGAACCTACACCATTGCATACATATCAAGGTCGGTCCTGTTTTGATCATCTAAGGAAAAAGATTTGACACTTTCAGTTAGCTCTTTGGTGCCTTAACACAGCTACTTTATATACTGCTTTAATTGTATTTGCTAAAACTTAATTCCCTCCCTTCCTTCTTTTTATGTCTCAGAGAAGATTCGGTTACCAATGAATGCTGCCACAGAGATCCAAAGGAGCTAATAGATTTTTGAGCAGACATTCTGGTACTCTCAGAAAACTTTTTTTAAACTTTAAAATGGGAGCCAGATATGGTGGCTCACATCTATAATCCTAGCACTTTGGGAGGCTGAGGCAGGAGATCACTTGAGGCACGAAGTTCAAGATCAGCCTGAGCAATATAGCAAGACCCTGTCTCTACAAAAAAACCCCACAAAAATTAGCTTGGTATGTTGGTGGGTGCCTATAGTTCCAGCTACATGGGAGGCTGAGGCAGGAGGATATCTTGAGCCCAGGAGTTTGAGGTTGTAGTGAACTGTGATGATGCCACTATACTGTATCCTGGGCAACAGATCGATACCCTGTCTCAAAAAAAAAGGAAGCCTGATTTATTTATCAATAAAGATGATAAATATTAAATCATCTTTGTTTTTAGTGGGAGTTTTGAATAATGAAAATTGTTTTTAAACAAAGGTCAAGCCATGTTTAATAATATATCAATCCAAAGTTGTTGAGCATGTTAATGAAAATAAAATAGTCTTACATTTTTGCTAAAATGATCTCTTGGGTAACTTTTGAAGGTACCACTTTGATATCTTTGTGGAAAAGCATGTTAATGTTATTGAAAAATCTGTGAAATTTTCTTTTTGAAAAATTACAAAATAATGCTCAGAGGGTAAATGAAGAATATAATCAGTTGTTACATTCAGAGCAAGCCTTCCCTTTAAAGAAGGCTTCTATTCAGATTTACATATGTAGAAGGTTTATGGTACAATCTCTCTACCTTTTATATGTTGGGCCTTAACATCTTTTTTTTCCAGCTAATTTGGGCATAGGAATCCCTCTTCTGGCCAGCAACTTTATTAGCCCAAATATGTCTGTTCATCTTCAAAGTGAAAATGGAGTCCTGGGTTTGGTAAGATGGAAATAAAGTTTTCTTTATCCAGTCTTGATGGAGAATGAGACTTCACATAGTAAAAATAACAGAATTGTTAGTTTAACATTCTCAATCTTACTTTTCTCTCTTTTTAGACTTTTATCCTCATAATAAAATATTTACCTTTTCCCTGAAAACAGTATTAATTGTGAGCATGTAGTACTGTTTATTGTGGTAGTGTTCTGACTGTGTGAGCTTTCTGACTGTTCTTCCTTGTAAGTCTGTCAGCTTCCATCTCCCATATCGTACCTGTTTTGGAGAGACCTCATGATTTCCTATTTCGCTATTTCTCTCTCTTTTGTGGTTGGATAAGATAATGTAGGTTATTAACATTTCTGTGTTAAATAAAAATCAGGCTCAGAATGAGAAACTAAAGAATAGGTTTCTGCTTTTGGACAGGGACATTTTTTGACAGTTGATTACCTCAAAAAGTCTTAGAATTTCTCATTTAATTCTCCTTTTGAGGGCGTATTGTCCAAAAGGGTAGAATTTTCTCCTTTTCAAGATGAACCTTCCAGCCGGGCTCAATCTTCTTATCGAATTAGGCCATATTTTTATTCAATATTATAATAATATTAAGAAATATTTTTGCTTTCCAGATGATAATTTTAATTTAATTCTTAACTGTGGCAGGGATTATTTATGGCTTGCCAATTTATAATATTCCTAAATCTTTTATTTCTCTGTAGCTTTTAACCGTTAATGTAATAGAAATTGTACATATCAGAAATGTATATCCAGTATTTAAAATATAAATAATGACCATGGGCATATAGTCGATACTGATTGGTTGAGGCAATAATCATGACATTTTCAAAAACACAAAAATGACATATCTGGATAAAAGCAGATTCAAACTGAAGTCAAGGACTTGTACTTTTAAGGTACCTTAGCGATTATCTAGAGTGATCAACTCCCTGATTTGGAAGACAAGAGATAATAAGTTTATGTGAATTTTTCATGACCAATATTTAAAGGAAAGTTTACATAGATCTAAAATATTAGTTGCCACTTCAGTTTATTTATAGGATAAATTTTTATTCCCTCCTTAGAAAGTATGTAAAAATTTCATAGCCAATGTTTCCTCATTCTTGGATCCATCTTATGCCTTTTTCTGTACCCTATTTCCTTTTCCTCCCTTTTTGCTTAATCTACATTAGGTTATAACTACCTGCTCCATTCAAATAAATAGAATTGCCTTATAAAAATATATGCCAAAAAAAAAAAAACTTAGAATAATTGAGCAATGACAACATTAGGACAGAAGTATATCAAAACTTAGATGTAATGAGAGGTAAGATTACAACCCCCAGTTCAGGTCTTTAGGTGTTTCACATGAGAAAGCTGAAACTTTGTCTCTGTAGGTACTTCTAGCCAAATAATGCAATGTTAGTTTGTATTCATTGATCCTACCAGAAAAGTTTATGAATAACATAGGCTGCATGCTAGGTACTAAATAATTACTTTTTGTTTAATTGGCCTGTATTTCTAATATTACAACATTTCTTTCAAATGGGTAATTTTAGAAAATATTTGTCATTTGCCCAATTACAACTATTGGTGTAGAAAAGACTAATTAATATGAAAAACAGAGCCATGAACACATCAGAATTATTTTTAAAAGGTTCACCTCAAGTCTTTGGTTGATAACTTTGTAGGGTTTTTAGGGAAGTTATTTATATTACAGTTTTAGTATATGATTCAGTGAGAATCTTCTTTTGCTAATTGTGTGCTGTGTTTGACAGGGTCCATATCCATTACAACATGAAGCTGATGCAGATCTAATTAATGCAGGTAAATTCTCTTATTACATATTTTTCTAGTGTTTCCTTTTGCTGTTAATATTAATTTTGTTCTGTGCCAAACAATAGTAAGGATTTGGACTCAATTCTTTGTCTTTTTCTGGATAGTATGCCACTGTATTTATCATTGAAGAGGGGAGATAAGCCTTTTTAGACCCTCTTTGAGGTCTTCTCTCATTTAGGGATGACTGAGATAAAGGAGAAAATGCAGGTGGAAGCACATTTAATGGAAGGGCTTGTTGGGTCAGTCAGTTAGGGTCCTGCCCATAGATAGAGAGCGCTCTCAAATAAGGTAATTGAAGAGAGTTAAAGTAAGGAACAATTTACAAGGGTGTGGACAGGATTAGAGAAACCAAGAAAGGATGGTACAATCCCACTGGAAGTTAATATCACGCCAAGGCCTTAAGGGGCAGTGGTAGGAGAGGGTCACCTAACAGGAACTATGGCCTTTGTTTCAGGAACACAGCCAGCTTGCAGCAGCCTGGGTCTCCTGCCTATGCCTCCCATTGGCTAGTCCCCAGTCAAAATAGGCCTTCTCAGCCTTCTCAGGATGGAGAGGGTGGGGAGTGGACCCATAGTGGTAGAAAGAAAAGATCTAGTACACGGTGGTTTTTGTTGTAGGGATGCTTGCTGTCCTCTAGTCCTACAGTCCACAGCCCCCAGGCTGAGAACCAGTACCAACCAGTGTGTGGGCTATTAAGACCTGGGCTGCACAGCAGGAGGTGAGCAGCAAGTAAAGCTTCATCTGTGTTTATAGCCGCTCCCCCTTGCCCCATTGCACCCTGGCACCCCTCCCTACACCCCTATCCCATCCATGGAAAAATTATCTTCCATAAAACCGGTTCCTGCTGCCAGAAATATTGGGACTGCTATGAATGTAGTCCTCATTGGAGTGAGAGAACATCCTCCAAAGGTACAAGGGTGCTTAAGCATGCACTCTGACACTAAGTTCGACCCAGTGACATGAACAATAAATACAGTTTCTTTGAACTGGGGACTGTAGCCTTGTCTTCTCCTTTGTTCCCACACTCAGATGCTTTCCTTTTTATTATTACACTTTTCTTTGACTGGGACGTTGAATCACATATATTAGAAGCCTAGAGGAGGAAGGACAGGTCAGGCCTTTTGGCCATCATCACTGCCTGTGCTTGAGGCAACACTGTCCCCATGTTGAGGCTGTGGATCATCCTTGGAGTGAAATTGCCTATAAGAAGCTAATTTTTAAGTTCTAGCATGATTTTCTGCACCCTTCTTTCACTCTTATTCATTCTACCTCTGGAAAAGTATTATTCTTACTTTGCATTCAAAAATAGTATGTGTAAATCTCAGAAGAGAAGTAATATGAGCTGAACATACAGGCCAGCTGCCAAGTAGAATTGATGTTTGATACTTGGAAATTTTGGAAGTAAAACAGCTTCTGGTTGAATAGTTGAATTAGTTAACATGACTCAACTCTGAAAGACCCACTGTGATAAAGCAATGACATTTAACCAAGGCTGTAATTTAATTGTACTGTACCCTTTAGCAATAGCTCATTGATCTGTGAAAATATTTGCTGCTTGGTTTAATTAATTTATGATGTTAGTGAGTTATTTGCAAAATGAATAACTCCATTCTTCAAATTTCAGGCTTGAGTTCATAAAACTCACTTTCCTTGGAAAAGTAGTTAATCTTGTTAATGTAGTTGGACAGTAGGTATTTCTGATTCCATTGAGCTTAAAAGTAGCACAGCTCTAATGAAGCCACCAATTTTATATTTCAACTTCTGAAATACCATGTATAATCTTAAACTACTTTGCAAAAGAAGAATTCATTGCTTAATGGAAGCCAAGTTGCAAATCAGTTTAATAATAATCTAACTCTTTTATCAAAGTCCTTTGTGGGAAATTTGATGCTTGTGATTTTGAAGTTGTCTAAATTAGGGAGTAAATACTTTGAGCTAGAGATGTTAGAATATAAACTGGTGGTTTCTTCAATTCCCAAAATTACCTGGAAATTACCTGGAAGATCAGCCCATTATTTGTATTAATTTGAAAAGATTTTTATGGAAATTCATTTAAATGAAATCAGAGAGTTATGATTATGGGTATAACTGATATAATAAAATTTAAAAATAATAATAGAACTATTTCTGAGGGTCCTAATTTTAAAATGATAGTCTCGTAAGTTTATGTAAAAATGAATTACTATTTGTATGGCACCATATGGTTTAGAGTGTACTTTTTCACATGTATTACACCATTTGAGATTCAAGCGAAACCTTATTGTACAGATAGGGAAACTGAGGCCCAGAAAAATGAAGTGACGTGTTCAAGATAACATTGCTATGAACTGAACTGAACTCATACACAGTCTTCTGTTTTTGAGCCCTGGCCTTTTTCTATATATACCTAACTACACCTGGTGATAATCTAACTTTTACAGAGGTGTAGACACCAGTGCTTGGGACATTTCAGAGATTCAATGAAGATCTGGGTTGAACCTGCTGTAACCCAAAGCAATTATGGAATCTTTATTAAATCTCATATTTTTGCTTTTATATTTTGCATCTCCCTGTTTCTTGATGTTGTTTTCTTATTTTACTATATGAATGTTTTAAATGACTTACTTTTGATTAAAATTGCTTTAGAAAGAATCACCATGTTGATCTCATAAGCTATAAATATCCCTGCTCACCACCCCTGCCTGACACATACCCTTTATAGTAGTGGTTTTCTATGGATTGGGGGTGGGGTATGATTTTGTCCCCCAAGGGACATTTGACAATGTCTGCAGACAGTTTTGATTGTCATGCCTGGGGAAGGAGGTGCTACTTGCATCTAGTGGGTAGAGGCCAGGGATGCTGCTAAACATCCTACAACAACCAGAACAGCCCGCGTGCCCCCCCCGCCCCCAAAGAGTTAGCCAGCCACAGAGATCAGCAGTGCCAAGAAACCCTGCTCTAGAAGGGTATGTACCACATATGAAGAATCACAGGCCTGCAGTCTAAAGTACACACAGCATAGCATTCTAGATCTCTCTAATGGTTGCAACCAACCTTTTTGCTTTTATCTTTCACTGTGTCCTGGACTTCTAGGTGTATTCTGATCATGGCTCATCCTTTCCTTCCTGCATGCCTTTGCTCTTACTGTGCCTTTCACCAGGTTTTTTTTCTGCCTTCTTCCTTTTTCATCCTCATCGCCCTACTGGCAATTTCCTATCATAATGCATTATGCATATCCTTCAAGTCCAGCTCATCTGTCCTCTCCAAATCTTCTGCAGCTCAGAAATGCCCTTCCCCTGAACCATAAGATACCTAGTGTCTCTCTCATAAGCCCACCACATTGTGCCTTATAATTGTTTGTCTGTGTTTCTCTCTTGTGGGATAGTAAGTGCCTTTTGCTCGTGACAGTGGTTCTCCAAGTGTGGTCCCCAGGCCCACAGCATCAGCATCACCAGGGACATTTTAGGAAAGGAATAATCAGGCCCCACCACACACCTGCTGAATTAGGAACTCTGGCAGTTGGGTGCAGCAGTCTTCCTTTTTGTAAGCCCACCATGTGATTCTGATGAGTGTTAAAGTTTGAGAACCAGTGGTTTAGGGGAGCTGAATTTGGTTTATAACATTGCTTAAGACACATAGTAGCCATTCACTACTGAGAGAATGACCTGTTAAATTATGAGCCAAAGGACTCAGTGACTGAAATTGAGTAGCTCTTTTACTGAAATACATGCAAAGATGCAGGTGTATACACAGAAAAATTGGAGGAGACAGAAATCAATCAGGAGCAGCCAAGTAAGAAAGCCACCCTTCCTTTTTTTTTTTTTTTTTTGAGACAGAGTCTCACTCTGTTGCCTGGGCTAGAGTGCTTTCGCATCAGCCTAGCTCACAGCAACCTCAAACTCCTGAGCTCAAGCAATCCTTCTGCCTCAGCCTCCTGAGTAGATGGAACTACAGGCATGCGCCACCATGCCCGGCTAATTTTTTCTATATATTTTTAGTTGGCCAATTAATTTCTTTCTATTTTTAGTAGAGACGGGGTCTCATTCTTGCTCAGGCTGGTTTCAAACTCCTGACCTTGAGTGATCCTCCCGCCTCAGCTTCCCAGAGAGCCAGGATTACAGGCATGAGCCCCGGCGCCCGGCCTCCTTTATGTTGATTGTCTTATTATGAACTTTTGACCAAATTTGCACATCGTATTTGAAAAACATGGATTCAACTTTAGGATATTTATTTTTGTTTAGACATTGGATGTTTAAAAATGGTGAAAATTAACTTTGCTTCATAAGAATGTAATTTATAAGGTGCTAGAATATATTAGCAGGAGCTGATAACTTTTTTTCCATGAGAGTTGTTTTCTGGACTCTTTAATAAAACTGTGCTTCATAAATTGTATAGAGAGAGCCAAGGCTCTCCCCATTGATATCAGAATTTCCTGTGAAGTGGTAAATAATGAATGCCTTCTGTGTACTACCAGCCAGTGGCGTTATTGTGATTTAGCCTCTAAAAACCAGAAAATTGGGATTTTTATGTTTTTCTAATTTTTTGTCAGACAAATTCTTCCTCGACTTCCACTTCACAGGATTGGTGAAGATCTGAATTTTCTGGACATACAAGTTGTGTTAGAATAAGGTTTAATTGTGTTATGTTATCATAAAACCTAGAGCTCACACTGCCTGGCTGCATAACCCCACTGTAAAAACCAATTGCTGGGTTCTATGGCATTTATCACTAGAGGGGCAATGCATTGTCTCTTTTATAAGTGGGTTTGGAGAGAGGAATAATAAGAATGACAATAATAAAAGCTGGTGTTTATGGAGCCCTTTCTTTGTGTCCCAAGCACTAGAGTAAGGACTTTATATGCATCATCTCACTTAATCCACAAAGTCCTATTTGCTTTCTACAATTCCTTACTAACCATACTAGAAAGTATTTTCCAAAACTTTTGAGTTTTATGGTATTTTGCAAGATATGAAAATGTTTCTACCATTTAGAATCAAACTCCCTTGGGGAATAAATATTTCAGCATGATATAAATAGACTTACTCTTTTTCCTTACTCGAGTTTGAGTGAAGGGGAGGATATTGAGGGAAAATTAGCTTTCAGGAAAGACTTAAGAAGCTGAGGATATAGCTATGTTGCACAGCTGGGGATGGTCAGACGGTGGTTCTGTTGTGCTGGGGAGCTTTTTTCTCTGTTCCAGTCTTGGAATCACAACTTCTCTTTCCCTTATTTTTGTCTGCCCCCTTACATAGGGGCCTTGAATGGGGTGTGTCCTCAGACAGTTCATTTATCTTTGGCAAAGTGGCATGTGACCACTTCCTGGTTGAGACCAGAAGCTGTTCCCAGGTACTTGAAGCTCCTGAACAGACAGGAAATAGATCACAAGACAAGAGCAGCTTGCATATGAGTCAGGTTATATTATTAGTTGTGTGGGGTGTGGATGACCTTGAAGATCTGAAGTTTTATTATGAGATGGAAGTTTTGGGAGAGGTCCTTCAAAGAGGACCTTTTAGAAGTTAACATCAGATAAATTGACCAGCATTACCATATTATTTTCTGATTTTATCAGAGTCCTATGGTTTTAATAGAAGCATATAGGAGCAAGAGAATAAAGATGAACCAGAGAGAGAGAGAAAGAAAGGGAGAGAGAGCTGAGGAGGGTTCAGACCAAATTATGGTAAGGTATTATGTGGGTCCTTCCCTTCTATATTATTTGTTGATTTTTATTAATTTATTTAATTTAGGTCTCTCCCTTCCTCTCCCCCTCCCCTCGAGACAGAGTCCCACTCTGTTGCCCAGACTAGAGAGCCGTGGTGTCATCATAGCTCAGAGCAACCTCAGACTCCTGGGCTTAAGCATTCCTCCTGCCTGAGCCTCCTGAGTAGCTGGGACTACAGGTGCATGTCACCATGACCAGCTAATTTTTCTATTTTTTGTAGAGACAAGGAATTGTTATGTTGCTCAGGCAGATAATAAACTTCTGGCCTCAAGCAATCCTCCCACCTCAGCCTCCTAAAGTGCTAGGATTACAGGCATGAGCCACTGTACCTGACCTATTTATTTTATTTCTGTTTTTCCTCAGCTTTATTGAGGTATAGTGGACAAATAAAAATGGTTTATATTCAAGGTTTTCAATGTGATGATTTGATATATGTATACATTGTGAAATATTTACCTCAATCAAGTTAATCAACACATCCATCAACTCGCATAGTTACGCGTGTGTGTGGTGAGAACACTTAAAATCTACTCTATTAGCCAATTTTGGGTATACAATACAGCATTATTAACTATAACCACCATGCTGTATATTAGATTATCAGAACTTAGGTTGTAATTGAAAGTTATTCATTGATTCTAAAAAAGCCTGAGGGACATCTCCTGCATCATTCTTTTCAAAATTGCATTTCTTCTTAAGTTCATATTTATTCCACAATCTTTATGCTCTGGTGACTTACAATAGCATTAGGTTCTGATAGGTGTCACCCCAGAACTCCTTCCCTCCTTATCCCTGTTCATATGTAGCAGTGGCTTGTAAAGGTAATGGTGGGGAGGGGGCGTGATGAGAGGGTGGACAGGTGTGGGCAATTGAGGGGTGCATTGCCTGTAGAGAATTTACAAACAATAATAAAACTAAGTTGGTCTGCTTTTTGTTATCACTATCATGTGCAATACTGAACAATGGTAGTACAAAATATTCATCTTCACATGGTGGACAGTTCCTACTCTGTTCCCCACCCACTTATGCCGCAGCCTTTTGGTAAAGGAAGCTTAAATTCTTTTGGAAACAGTGAAGGTATGGACAGACCTCTCCATTCACTATGATACCGTTAGAAATCTAATAGCCTGTTCTTTCTTTCTTTCCTTTTTTTTTTTTGTGTGTGTGTGCATTTAGGCAAAGAAACAGTTACTGTTCTTCCAGGAGCCTCTTTTTTCTCCAGCGATGAATCATTTGCAATGATTAGAGGGTACGTAATAACAGAGCCCCTCGTGTTTCACACGGTGTGGAATGAGCTGAGTCATCCCCTGAGTGTTAGTAAGGCTCTGAAACACAGCCGCATGTCCCAGCCAGAAAACTATCATGGGCTCGTTCGGCTGCAAGAAGATGTGAAATTATTCACAGTGAATGTGAGCGTTGAAATATCCAGCCCACTGTTATGAAAAGAACCCCCACAATGGAATACATACCTTTGTGCCAACTAGACTGAAATAAACATTTCTAAGGTCCTTTCTGAGGATCCTACCATTTTCTTCAAACTGTGTTCACTTTCTAGCTTGTGTTTGTCTTCAAATCGAGTCACATTCTGCCTCACTGAAGGAAACAATCTCACTGTGTACACCTGTTTTTAATTTGTTTTTGGAGACAATATAAGCTATAATTTTTTTTAAAAAAAACTTTTAATGGTTATATCTCTGCATAAGTTTGGAGTGGATCTGTTTGGAAACCAGTTGCGAGGTAGGGGAAACAAGTGTATTTTGGGGATATGGAATTATTTATAATCGCTGGCAATTTCAAGCAAAGGGGACATAAAGCTGCGAGATTTACTTTGTATTTCCTCTCTTTGTTTCTCAGGGGACATGTCAATCTAACAATGCTAGGAGCAATGCAGGTCTCCAAATACGGTGACCTGGCTAACTGGATGATTCCTGTAAGTAGACACTTTTTTCTTTGAATTACTCTTGAATCAGAATAATTATTTTTGAAATATTAAGAAAATAACTTGTCCAGTTGCTATGAGAGTACAATATAATTATTTTTAAAAACGAAATGTTTTAACATATATTTCTCATTTGAATCAGCTTTTAATTAAGCACTGAGAAGTATTCAGCTTTGCCAGTTTACTATGTAGTTGGGTCTACAAACAGGCAAGGTCAGGGCTAATGCAATATTTTCCTTAGAAAAAAACAGGTACTTGGCGAAGATAAAAATTAAATGTGTCAATTATACTCTGATGAAAGTAAGCAATGCAAATAGTTATCATAACCAAAGTTTTAAACTAGAAAGAACAATTAAGTTCATTAATTTTGTTAATTCTATTTTCTTATTCACAGAGATTGAAATCTTCACTTGATTGGTCATGTGATCCCATAAATAATCATGTTGTCTTCTATTATAGAATGTAGAACCTGTGACAGTTAAACATGTTTGTGAAATGCAAACAGTTTTCATTTAATAATGATTTAAATCAAACAAGAAACCTCTTAGAATTAGCTTTGGGAAAAGGGTTGTTATCAGTAACTTGATTCGTGAGTGCAGTTCACATATTCTAGGTGGTTGCTTCCTGATTACATGCATGGAAACAATAGTGGATATATGTCCATGAGTATGAGCTCACTTTGGCTGGTTGCCCTGGTTACTCTTTTTATGTGTGTGTTTAAGGATTTCCATGTGTATCTCTATAGCACCAGCTAAAGGAAATCTTGTCAAGTAACTGAGGCTCAAGTTCTATGATGTACACATTTTCATGAAATCTTTAATATATTTTTTTTAGGAATTTTTTGAGGAAGGTGGATTAATTAATATAGCTGGATTAATATAACAGTGTTAGAGATCATGTTAGTTGAGCTCTTTTAATGTAATGCCACCTGAACTATCATTTTAAAGTTTTAATAATTATTAAAGCCTTGGTTTTCAAACTTGGTTGCGTATTGGAATCACCTCATAGTTTTTAAAAAATATTGATACCTGAGTTCCAGGCCCAGAGTTTCCAATTTAACTAATTAAATTAGTTGGGATGTAGCCTGGCCACTGACTGAACTGGACAGAGCAACTGACGCAATTCCAGTCTGTGAACAGGTTTGTGAACCAGCCTATTAAAGATTGATCACAATTCACTCATGTTTAAAATGTAAGGGAAAAACAACATTGACTTATCAATAGTAAGAACTCTTAAATTATAGATTATATTGTTACTTTAGTTATAAAAATATGGGTCATTCTAAATCAGCTATAAGGGTTGGCAGCTTTTGGAGACTCCAGAGATATCAGAGAGGGTCTCTTGAGGATTGTCCAGTAAGCCAGATTGAAAATTTATGGAAATACAAATGTATTTCTATTTTCAAATTTTAGAAAAAAGCAATATGATGTAGTAGAAGGGGCATAGAAAAGCAAGCCCTGGGTTTTAACCCTGACTTTGCCAGTAATCAAGGTGTGACCTTGAACATATCACTTCAGTTCTTTGAGGTAAATTGTCTTTATAAAATGAGGGCTTGAGACTACATGATTTCAAAGGTCCTGGTTGGCTTTCACAGCTTAGTAGTTAAGACCAAGGGCCCTGTACTGAGATAGACCTGGGTTGAAGTCTTATTTTTGTCACTTGCTAGCAGTTACGTTGAGCCAATTAACTAGTTTTCCTTATCTGTAAAATGGGAATAATAAAATGGTACCTACTTCATAGGACTATATAAAGGAATAAATGAGATAATACATACAAAGTACATAGCACAGAGCTTGACACAGTACTTGTTGAATAAATGGGTCATTATTTTGGTAGGTTAAGAAGGAGAAGTTGAGGGTACCTGGCAGAGAAGGGAATAGCTTCTGTGAACAGGAGCAATAGGGTTTTAAATATGCCTATTTATCTGGACTATGATTTTTGAAATTAGTTTGCATAGTGGTCTTGGGTGTAGAGCAGAAACATGTTCAATAGATTCTTCCTTTTAGAGAACTTGGGCATCTTTAAAAAGTCAGTATAAGATTTGTTTATATTATGGTTTAGCATGCACTAAGGCTGGAAACTTTCATAGTGAGAATGTGCATGATGTAGTTATCATTTGCAAGAAAGATTTCCCAAGGTGAATAATATTTTTACATACCTGTTAAGATTCTTGTGAATGATTAAAACATGTTTATTACTTTGTCATTTTCTTAATATAATTTGGAGCCCATGAGTTTCCAAAGGAATATACCTAGTAGGGTGACAATGAGAAACACTAGAAATCTGTAGGAACATCATGGAAATCTAGCTGAGAAAAATTAAGTTCTTGGGTTTGGTTCTACACTTCTGGCTAAGAGTTGGTAGAGTTGTTTTTGATTAGCATTTCTTTTTTTGCTTCAGTGACTGATAATCACTTTCTGACTTCTTCGTGTGTGATACACAGTATATATTTTCATTCTTTGAGACTCAGGACAGCTTCAAAGTCCATGAGGGTTAGTTTGGAAGAGATCCAGGTGGAATTTCAGTTCTTTTCCTTACAAATTATACAATCAGGAGTACATGTTTTTGCTAGGATTACATAAGAAGAAAATGAAAAGTGAACAATACAAGCATTCCCTAAATAGTGGCTATAGCTTTCATCTTCTTTAATGCTCTATTACTTAACATTAAAGAGGAATATTTGCCTTAAAATGCACTGGCATAATCAAGACAATTGTATGTGAGCCAGTACAATCTGGCTAACTAACTTCATATTCAACTATCAAAAATTAACCCTTTCTTGCTTTTATTTGTTATGGATAAGATGCAGCTTATTCTCCTTGTGTAATTTAGTAAACAATCTATTTTTATTTGTCCCAAAGTTGTTTACATTATGATTTATATAATTTAGGTATATTTTTATTGCAAGATCTGACAGTCAAGGAGCTGAAAAGTTCAGCTTTATTATATCATTTTTCATTTACTTTTATTTTTTTACTGAGTTTAATAATCTTTCAATGGTTGTATAAGCCTTGAGTTCTCAGTGTCATGACATCACTATCAATCATTATGACATCAGATTACAATAGACATTAAGCCTTTAAGGCAAGCAAACAGTGTGAGTGCTATTTGTCTTGCCCTTTAATACCTTATTAGTATGCAGCATTGGTTCCACGTATACAGATTTTTTTAACAATTTTGCCCTGAGCATACAAATAGGGAAAATTTGTTTTTTGCTTTTTTAAATTTTTTATATAAAGTAAAAATTTCCTTCATGCTCCCTACTTATTGTGATGGTGGTGAAACCCCAGGCAAGCTAATAAATTGTGGAATGATGTGCAGTCCATTGAATCTACGTTCAGAACTACTTGGGTGCCTTCCTAATGCCTATTTTTGGAGAACAGCTGGCATCGATTATTGACTTATGAAGGGAAGCCGATGTGTGTGATCAGCTATGAGAGCTGGTTGTTGAAAGCAAGAAATAGCAGCCCCCCATACAGGGCTGTAGTACGTGAGTGGCCTAAGAGCCAAGGGCCCTCTACCACTGTGGAGAAGTTAAACAAGGCATTCTCAAGGCAGAGGAAAGTGGCAACATTTTTGGTGTTTGTTTTTCCTTCACATTTTTTATTTCTTTGTGTATTTGAAAAGAATAAAGACAAATTAATATTGTACTCATGTATGCTACATGTCTGAGTGAAGAAAATCGATTGGGTCTTCTAGACATGCTGTTTCTAATAGTCTGAGTTTCTAGTCTTTAGCATTCCTAGTTGTACAACTAAGGGGGTTTGTGTTCAAGAGTGAACTGTTGGTTTAGTTGCATCCATTGTAATCCAAATACTAAATGCGTAGATATAGATACAGAAATAGAAATATATGGATGATGAAGATATAAACATAAAGATCTAGATATAGTTTTAACATATTGGTGTATTGTTGATTTGGTCCTGAGGCTCAGCAAAGTGCAAACCATGAGTACGGAAAAAGGACAGGTGGAAAATATATAGGAGATGGTGTGCAGCTTTTGTAATTATTCAGTGGTGCTTTTGACTTATTTGTGTAATATAGTGGAAACCTATAGAACTTTGGAATTATTCCAGAGCTTTGGAATTAGACAGACCTGGGCTTAAATATCGGTTCTTTCACTTATCATTTGTAAAATTATAATTTTTAAATCATATGCTTTTTTAAGGGATTAAATTAGTTCATTCATTCAACAAGCATTGATTAGGCATATATTAAGGGGTACGCACTGTTTTTGCCTTTTTGGGGATGCAGTGGTTAACAAAATAGATGAAATTCTCTGCATTTATGGAGCTGATATTCTAACAGGAGAATGGTATAAAGTCTGCAGAGTATGGCTCATGTACCAAATCTGGTCCACTGCCTGTCATCTAATGTTGGAAAGTGACTTTTTAAAGTGTCTAATTTTCTAACTGTTGAATATCATTAATATTTTTGAACTTAATGTCATTGTATACTTATTGGATGGTTTTCATAGTATAAATACCTACAAGTAGAATATCTTGGTCAGTATTTTAGGGTTTTTGATAAATATCCCTGAATTGCCATCCAGAAAAATTATCCCAGGTCACAACACTCACACTATTTCTACTCTATTACTAACACTGGGATCAGCTTTTTTCCTATCATTCTATTATTTTTCATTTTTTAAAAAAACTGCCATCAAGACTATTTAGAAGGAAGGCAGTACCTTGCTATTCTGGAGGGCACTTAATCTCCTTCTTCCCTCTTGTTCTGGACAGAAGGCTTTAAGCAATTGTTATCTCTTACCAAATTCCAGGGGTGCTATCTTTGGTGATTTTAAAAGACAGCATTGGTGGTGACTATTTTGTGTTAGTGAGTGTGTGTTAAGAAACCAGCCGTAACAAGCATATGTCTGAGTGTGTGTGTGTTTCTTCTGTATCCATTATGCTGAACAAGCTCTAAAAGTGGGATGAAATAAAAACAGAGCTATTTTTATCTCCTGTGGTGCCTTTAACTTTATTCAGTTA